CTTCGCAAACTTGGTAAAAAATTTTTAGATTTGATGCATCTCCATTTGCATCCGTGCAGCTTTGTAAAGAATCAGTAAGTAATTTATTGAATTATGGATGTCGAAAGTAGAGACTTTAAGCTTTAAAATGCTTTTTTGATCACTCCGATACGATCATTTTTGACGAAGTTACACTCTCTTGAAATTTGCCTATTTTTAATGATCAGAATGGGTGATGCTTTAATTTTGCTGTCGAGTGTATTTACCTAGTCAATATCTAGTATAGTTGTACTGATTTAGTAACACATTTTAGTACACTAATACACATTTTCTGCATTGTATCGTATATCAAGCAAAATATGCAAAATAGCAATTTAATAATTCTATCTTATCGAATTAACTTTGCAAATGTATAAAAATAATTCAAACGATTAAACGATTCATTTATAATCGATTTATTGGCCTGTTCATTCTATTTATTGCTTTGCAAATGCAATCTTTTATTTCTTATTATAAATCAAACAACGTTTTTTGATATAAGAAAGAACAACGAAACATTATTAATCTCAACTAATTTAAATTGAAATTTTTTTTAAATTTTTTATTTTGCAATGTGTTATGTGTATGTAAAAAATGTTGATTGTGAGTATTATTTGGTTTTCTGTGAATGATAAAAAAGAAATATAATTATAATATAAAATTTTAAGTTTTATCAGTATAAAATTTTATTATTTTATTTTTAAAAAAAGCTTTAAAAATCTGTACATTTCAATTTTGCTATAAAAATTTTGTAATCAAATTTAATCGAAAGTATTACGTACGAAATATACTCACATTTATTTCTTCATTATTATATACTACTCAACACAATGTAATCAAATGTTATACAATGAGAGCGGATGTCGTAATTGAGTTTTGAATCTCCAAAACTCAAATTGGAAAACATCTATTAGCTTCTTTGCGTTGCGATCGCGTAGAATCACGTATCGAACGACAATTGGATCTCTTTCCTTCGGGGAAGTTTAGACCATGAAGATAGCCAAAGAACTTCTAACGACTTAGCCAATCGACTCAAACTTCTTTCCACGTTCACGAATCGATCTTGTCCTTTCAGTACGTCCTACTGATGTCAGAGGCCATTGTCGTCCTGGCGAGTGACAACGTGCTGACCGCTTCTTTGTCGCGTCGTGCCAGCAAACACCTTCACTGGGTTCTACAAGCCCTTGGGTTGATCCTGAATCTGGTTGGCGTGGGCGTGATGTACAACGCCAAATCAGTGCACTTTCTCTCGATCCACGGTATCACAGGAATCACCTCACTGGTGATCGTCTGCACGGTGACTATCTTCGGATATCCAGTATGGATCGCATGGAAACTTCGCAAGTTCGTGCGACCGGTAAACGTCAAGTTCCTTCACAATTTTCTGGGTACCGCCGGCTTTGTCATCGGTATGGTCTCGCAATGTTACGGTTACGAAAAGACCTGGGTATATTACGTAACAAAAATGAAGCACGCCGATGATACTCTACTTGTTCTCACGATACTAATCACAATATTATCTTTAAGGGGCGCGCTCAGCTCTCTTTGTAGACAAGCCGTAGATTGTTTGAAATTGAATTAATTATTCTTCCACCTAATATATGCAGAGAATGTTGACGGGACAAAATCTTTGTCTAAAATTATCACGTATTATTTATTATTTTGTTATTTATTTCTAGTTAAAATTATACAAATAATTACTAATAGCTTTTATCATAGATTTGAAAAAAGCATTTTTTTGTGCAATTTTTTGCAAAATATGTATATAATCTGAATGTATTAATATAAGAATGTTAGTTAAATTAACATTAAATAATATTTACATTATAGGTATTAGATAAAGCAACTAATAAAATAATACTTAATTATGTAATTAGTTTCTGGCTAGTAAAACATGCGGAATATTCTGGTTATTATTTTCTGGTCAATAATTAGCAAGAAATTAGTCAGGATAAATATGTAGAACAATGTTTGAAATTATAAATTCTAATAATAGACTATGACGTTATACATAGAAATAACACAGATTATAGTTTTATAAAAAAGATTAATTATTTGATGATCTAATTATTCAAACATAAAATAAATAACATAATGTAAATAACAGGATATGTCAATTAATTGTATAAAAAATCTATGTATTAAAAATAATTCAAAGAGTATATTGGTTATCACAAAAATTTTATTAGTAATAATGTATATATATATTATACATTTTATTTTACTTTAGGAAATGCAAAATTAAATTATGTGTTGTAACAAGCAATAAATTCCATTTGCGTTTTAACCTAAAGATTATAATTATTAATAAATTTTATTTTTTTAATTATTTATGATTGTGGACGTTTGTTTACAATTACTGTCATTATTGCTGTAATTCATATTTTGTTGTGAAGCAACACCTTGTGTTCTAAAAATGTTTAGAGCGTGGAAAAGTTAATTTCATACTTGTATTAGTAAAATATCTCGCAAATAGAAGTCTGAGCCCTTTAGTGCTGAAGATAATGTTATTACGGAATCGAATTGCGAGATGTTTCTGTGCGCAAGCATTCGGTTACAACGGTTGCCACTTCAGCTTCTGACGGCGTATAAACGAGAGAAGTCAAAGTTTAATTAGACGCGAAAGCGCGGCAGTCTGAAATTTCGAAAGTCGTAATTTCTCTTTGCTGCCAAACTGTAGTCTGTTTCCTATTTCGATATACTCGATTAAATTTGATACTGCATATCCAATGTTCCTGTTAATCGAACCAACTATTCTATCGAAACAACTAGTACTTTCAAAGTATTCATCGTGAAGAATAACGATGAATTGCGATCGTAAAAAAACAGAAATAAAAATTCTCAAAAGAACAATTCGCGTTATAATTTATTTATTTATTCATTATTTCTACAAATAATATTATTTAAATATTTTAAATAACGTATGTATATATATGATAAACACTAAGAATATTAAAAATTTAGCAAAAATAAATTCCTGAATTAATTTATCCATAAAAATTTTTGTATGTAAAAATCTATAAATATTTCTCAATTATTTTGGTAAATATTTATTAAAGAATGCAGCTCCGATTACCTTGACTTTGACATACATATGTTATAGAGATAAAAACACTGATCAACTTTTCTTTAGAAATTAATTGGCGATCTCGTACAGTTTTTGAGATAAACTTAATTAAAACTAATTTTTTTATGACACGTATTTTATGACACATTGTATATGGTGTATATATGTTGAGCGAGTGTGATGAGTTTTCCACGCGAAGCGAGGTCCACGCACCTCAACACCTGTGTTTGATGCTCCTGTGTTTACGGGGCGTAAACGAGGTCTATAGTTGTACTGATTCACATAGGTTTTCGACGCAAAGTGAGATCCACTTCACACTCCTCGTGCTTATGGGGTGAGGTCTATAGTCGTACTGGCCCACATGGGTTTCCAATTTGCCACGTATGACGAGGTCCACTCCACATCCCCTGTGCTTACGAGACGTAACGAGGTCTACAGTTTCATTGATTTTTATAAATTCATATACAACGTGTCATAAAATAATAAAATTTAGAAAATAAGTTTTAAGTAATTATATCTCAAAAATTATACGAGACTGCCAATTAAGTTATAAGGAAAAGTTGATCCTCATCTCTATGTCAAGATCATCGAAGCTGTATCCCATAATGTAAACATTTACCATTATTTTGTTTATTATATTTTATTATAATATTGTTTTATTGTAATTAATACTTCTAGTTATCATTAGTATTTTTACAACAGATTATCTTTTATTGTAATTAATTTAATTTTTAAATTATTGTTTAAAGGGAAATTATAGAAAGCGCAATAAAGTTACATATAAAATAAAATATATAATAAATGTATAAATTACTCATTTTTAAAATAAAATTTATTCAGATTAAAATAAATTTAGAGAAATGGATCTACTTTATAGTATGAAATTACAACAGACATTATTTGATCATGATAAAAGTTCTGATATGATAAGAATTAAGCTTACTTTATCTATTAGTTTGCACATTTTAATCGTCTACAATTAATCTATATTCGTATATAAGATAATTAATGTGTCTGTAGCATTCGCCTAATCGCAATGCAGGATCATCGCAATATTGCAAAAATATAAATGCTGTTTCAGATTGCACAGTGTACTAATACTACGCCGTAATATCTACATAATCGTTGCGCGCAATCTGCTAAGATAATTAACGCATCTGTGATGAGCGCGATAATGCCGGGAGTGCACAGGACTCGAGTGATATTTATTATGCGCGTGATAACGAGCGCAAGAAGTGCGCCGATATTTATTTGCACGCGATAGTAATAGCCGAGCATATCACGTTCGCACCATCACGTATGTATCCGCGTGCGATACACGTCCGTTGCGATTAATTTATTTGTATTCGCATATCGAAAGCGCGGAAATGCGTCAATTGATTATAAACTTTCTATTTCGTCCGACGATCTTCGACCCCAACGACGCTCTCCGAGCGAGACCAGCTTTGCTCCATTTTTACGGCGACGGGATGAACGCCAGGTCGCGAAGATCGTGGCCTCATGAATCATTCATTCCAGATTAATTCGACGCGCAGTGCCTGTCCATGCTTCCAGCTTCAAGCGCCGTCCGTTCGTCCGTACGTTTTCCTTATTGAGAGGATGACTCGCGTGCGGTTCTTCCCCGAGATTTGTGTTATTAAATCCTCCCACCCACACAGACATAGCCATAATAAGCGACGTTTTAAAATTCCCGGCGCTCGAAAGTTAGCGCGTGCACAGCGGCGGGGGCGGACGGCCGCGGCGGTAGCAGCCAGAAATTAAAATTCTCCCCGTTTTACAGCGAGAATTTCAAGGCGTCATTTCTCACTTTATGCAAATTGTTTGCGGAAATATATATACCACAATTCCGTGTCAACGTCCTTCAAAAAGAGAAAAAGAAATTTTATATATATATGTATATATATGTTTAACAAGTATAACATATACTTTTTGGCATCGTTAATTACTCTATTAATTTATGTTATTTTACTTATGATATTGTTTCGTTTATTATTTAGTGATAATATATTAAATGAAGACAATGTCTATTATATAAGGCAATATTAATAATATAAAAATTTTTCGTTACTTACAAATATTAAAATATGTGAATTGTCGTTTGTATAATATATAATAATTTGAAATATTCTAAAGAAAAACGACAGAACCTTTACGAGTAAACAAGTGTGATGAATTCTAAAGACGTAAAATGCCATTTTTAAATACAATGAAATAACTCAGCGAACAGTTATGGAAATCACATAGCGCAATATTTATTAAAGCAGAAAGCATTTCAATTGTAATAACCAACCAGCATCTGTAATATAGTTCACTGTTAATTGTCACTTCGCGCATGTATGCACCATTTTATTGAATTTATTAATCGCACGGAATTTTGGGCTCTCTAAAATCCTTTCCGTCATTTTTCTATATATCATTCCATATATTCACTTATAACAGCGTGCTTTTATATGATATATCACATTTCGTAGCCAATTTTTAAAAAATTATAAATTATAAAGTCTCTTCTACTTTTTTTATTTCTCTTTTATTTCTCTTATCTTTTTTATTTAGCATCTTAATTACGTATTTTAATTACAATTTTAGAAAATAATGCAAAATAAAATTTGACAATTATACATAATTAAAGTGTTTACTTTAATATAAATAGCTTTATTTTAATAATATATTTAGTCGAAGCTGCTTGGTTTATTATATAATAAGTTATTACTTCTATTATAAATAAATATGTTAATCATTATAAATATATATTAGTAAAATGCATTCTGCATGCCATAATTTTATCGTGCAAATTTTATATATGTTTATTATAACAGCAAACATAGGCATGTACATATGTTTATTATACATTTATATACTTTTATGGATAATATTGCGTTTGGATGACAAATATAGGGTGTCTCGTACTCATGGTACAGCGCTTGTGGGCAGGTAGTGTGGACCAAACTGAACAAAAAAGTCCTCTACCATTTTGCGATCTTCGCAATAG